AGGGCAGCGCACAGACCCTGGCAGCCCCTTCTCGATTTCGCGCAGGTGGCGGCCTTGCAAACTGAGGCTCCGGTTGGATGGATGGATCGGGTCTTGGGCGTGTTCGAGGAAACTTGAAAGCCAGATCTTTGCCTAGGCCAATGGAACTCATCAGAGAAGCAGAAAATTGCAGGGATACTACGGAAGCAGGGATTCATGCGAATTTTGCATGCACGGACAGCTGCGCAGCCCCAATGACTCAGGAGTTCAAAAGTTCAAGGGAAAGGTGGCCAACATTCTGAAAACAGACTCTTCTTCTAGAGGCGGTGTGGAAGACAAGTCCAAGAGCATGTGGAGATTTACTTTTGGGTTTGCGCCATTTTTCAAGGGGAAACCAGACCATTTTGGCTACTGTACATGTTGGGTAGATGGATCTATCAGAACCCTCAAGCTGGAAGCCTCCTGCTTTCGGGCCAATCCGGACGGGAGCCCTTGCGCTTCCCAAAGGGTTCATCCCGTGCTGCCCTTCGGTGTTCCTTTCGGCAGCTTCCTTTCTGTTTGGAAATCCAGAGGCCTGGGGCTTTGCGGTGTAGGCAAAGGACCGTGGTGATGAAAGGGAGCCCAGAAGGACGGGCCATTTTCAAGGGTGACATTTAGGAAACCTCCAGATTTATGGGGGTTGGGCACACCATGGCACACCCAACTGCGCTGAGGGCGATGTTTCCCGCCTATGGCATGTGGGTACGCAGGGGGTGGAGAATTGGTTGAGGGTACCTTTGTCAGCTAGGGACACCCACAACGCAATTTGCGGGGTCCCCCATTTTCTTGGTTGTCGTTGAGAAACATTCTACATGTTTGCTTATTGTGGTTTAGGGGAAAATCCCCACTCAACTGTTTTTTTTTGTTTGCATTTTTGCTCCCCTTCCAACCTCAATCATGTTTTGACACCTAGCCATTTGGGTGTGTCATAATTTGTTTTTGAGGCTGCCCCTTTTGGGTGAAAACGAAACCGTTTCCTATGAGAAAATCAGAGTCCTTGCGCCAGGCCGATGCGCGGGGAGTCCTGGGTGGCTCTTGTCGATCCGGAATCAAGCCAGACGAATTTAGGTAACCCTCAATCGCTGGTTTGGATTGGTGGTTTCTTCTTGTGGGTTTATTTGGAAATCCCCAAATCCTCCTCGTTTCCCCTCTTGATTAGGTGGACACGGCCCCCAAAAGGTGAACATTTCATGTCCAGGTCCTTGAAGTCCCATTTGGGTCTGAAAGGGCAACGACAAGGAAAACCCTCCAAATGTCTTGTGAGTATGGCTGCCCCGGATTTTGCAGCCAAGGCCCAGCGGAGCTGCATCGGGGCCGAAGGCGCGAAAGGATTGACTTGGCTCGGGCGTGGCTCGTTTTTGGAGTTTGTACCCAGTACCCGGTACCCGTGTTGGGGTTGGTTGAAAGGGAAGCTACTTGGCGATCCACAATATTGTGGGTTGTTTTAGTTTTGAGACATATGCAGATTCGTTGATGGATTGTTTATCGATTTATGTCCTTTGCTGTTCTTTTTCCCCGTTCCGTTTGTTTTTCTACTGTTCTTTCTAATTGTGCTTATTTATTGTTCACTCACTTATATATATATATATTCATTCAGCGCATGTTGAACTTGGTTTCTGTTTATACACATACGCACTCACATACGCTTTTTCAGACAAGGGGGGAGTGAAGGGTTCAGATCAGGGAAGAACAAGCAACATCACCAAGAGTTTAACTCTGTGAACCTCCAGCATGGCCTTCAGATAACCCCCAATTGGTGGTTTGGATTTGGATTTGAACCCGTGGTTCTTGCAGAGGGAGACTGGGAAACCATCACACCAATTGGAGGGAAGCTGACATGTCGCCAAGTCAGTCTGAAGCCCTCTGGTTTGGTTTCCAGAACCCCCTGTGAGGACACGAGCGAAGGAGTTCATCCTAAGACCGCCCAATACTCAATGGGCTCGAAGGTTCTTCAAGAGAAGGGATCTCAGGTCTTTCTTGTGAGCTAGTCTGCCCCATCGATGCATTCTTGAAGTGATTTCATTTGTAGGGGTGCCCCTTTGCGCACGTTCTGTCTCAACTCATGACTCATGTGGCTCATCATGCGACCGCGGTTGCACCCTGGCAGCACTTGAGCGGTCGGATGAAAAACAGCTGGGGATGTCTCCTGTAAAGCGGTGTTCCCTTTTGAACATTTAAAACCATCGAATCGGAGGTTCCCCAAAGGAACATCTGGGCACTGGTTCAAGTCGAGGCCGTTGATGGAAAATTAACCCGGACCTCCAGTGGTGCCTGTTGCTTGTTCTTGTTTGGGGGGGGGGTGCTCCTGCAAAAATCACCTACCAAACACACATGGGTGGGTGTGTCTTGAGGGTACCTTTTTCAGGGGGGGTTTACCAAAAGGCCTTGTTTGCCATTCAGAAAGACTAAAATGTGCCAAGATAGCGACCAGCGCCAGGTGGTGAATCCGTGCGCAAGCCCAGATTTGAGCCACAATCAAAAACCTGGGTAGATGAAGGTTAGTAAGGGACGACATGGTTCTGGGTAGACCATTTTAGTACCAGGTTTTCATTGCGACTCATTTGGGAACGTGCACGCGTGACGCTGGGGTGGATCCCAACAAGCAGGTTGGGACTGTTTGATTCCGCCCGCACAAGGGCTCTAAACTGAGAACGGGCAGTGCCTCTGATTGTTTGGGTTTCAACCTTGTTGGGAGAAAAGCCCAAACTGCCAAGACATCGGTGTGTTGAATAGGAAGGGGCTCCTGTGTGCGTAGCGAAGCCCCGGCTCCCAAAGATCTCGGAGCTTCCAACTCGCTGCATGTTCTTCAGGTTGGCTCAAGCGTTGCTTTGCTGTTCGCAAAGTTTGACTGCGCTTGGACAGGCTGTTCTACTTTGGGTGGGGGTCAAGAATTAAATTCACCCGCCAGGAAATGCATGGCAGGTTTTTTCTTGTTTCCATGGTTTACCAGGGCAACCCAGTTTGGGGCTACCAACTACACAACACCCAGCGAAGCGAGGCCCGCATCCAGCGCTTCGCCCAAGCCGAAGGCAGGAGCCGTTGCCTGTTCAGGAATCTGGCAAGTGTGAGAAAGGCAGTGCTTGTTTCCGGACGGTTTTCCGGGTCCAAAAGTGGGGCGCGCTGGGTGTTCCTCAAGTGCTGCCGAGCTTTCCGTCCGCACCATGCACATGGAATATGTTGTTCCTTCGTTGAATGAATCTGGAAGATGGAAAACCTGCCTCCGAAACCAACGCCCCCAACGCATTGCGGTGAAGTTCCAGTGCTCTCCGTTTGCACAGCCCAGAGCGTGCACCTTGAGCAAAACGCCCCCCGCTTCGTTCCTGGGACGAGACCCTCAGGTCTTGCTCAATGCCACATTCGACAGGCAGTCAGAGCTGGTGACCCTTATACAAGTGCGACTGGGATGGAGGGATGCCCTTGAGCATGGGTCAAGTAATGGCTCAAAAGAAACGGAAGCGCCTTTAATTCATGTGTAGAATGGTTTATGAGTCAGGGGAGGGGGGGGGGAGACTCAGCGTGTTTTCCACATTGGCCCTGGACTACTGGATATGCTGACCGAACCTCAATGTTAGATGTCCAGGGTCATCCCAAGCATTTCACAGCCACATTTGCTGATTGTGGCTCGTTTGGTGTTGCCTATGTTTGACCTTGTTCTGGTGACCTAGCCCCCACATCGCCGCTCCAGCCAAAGGATCAAGCACTCAGCTTCCAGAATCGCAACAGGTGCGGACTCGAAACAGATAGAAACAGATGCCGCACTGTGCGTCAGTGCCATTCATGTTTGAATTCGAATCAGGGTGGGATGTTTGCCGAGACCCGTCTTGGCGGACAAAAAGGCATCCCGGCTTCTGTTTGCCACAAGTTGTTTGTTTCATCACGCGACAGAACATGAGCCCATGGAATTTTCTCCGTCCAAGATGTGGCATGCGCCGAAACATACAAATGTGTGTCTTGAAACAGTTGAGGCCCCAAAATTGCGGTTTTCTTCCTCGCTTTTCTCCAAAACAACGTCTAACAAGAGCTCCCTAAAAATATGTACACCCCCAGACAAGGGTACCCTCAAAAAGATGTTTGCACCTATCAAGGGTACCACAAATTCAGCACACCCTCAGCAGGGTTGTTCGCGGTCAACCTGTCGGTGGCTCTGGTCATGGCCATAGCTATGAGAGCACTAGCTCGCCTCAAGGCGCTACACTGGATTCGTGCTTCTCTTTCACTCCCAGCCAGCCGCATACTTGCCTGGAAACGACACAAAACAATCACGGGCTTTCTTAGCGTTTTGCCTAAAGGACGGGCTTCTTTTTTAAGTCAGCAGACATAGGTGTGGCTGTTAAAACAGCCTTAAAGACAAGGCCTCAAAGCGACATAGAGTCCATTTTGCAACCATTTGGGGAGGAGGGCTTTTTGCCATTGAGGGGCCTTGGCAAACGTAGGCTTTTCAACAGTGGCATAACCCTCGTCGGATCCTTAAGGTTGTCTAAAAGTCTCTCTTGGATCCATTCAAACCCCAAGTAAGTTGGGCCTTTCCATTGTGATACGTGCTGCACGAACTGATCCAAAAAAGGCAAGCCAAGTGCCAGTCTATGATATTTGCATCATCCATCCTTGGAGCAACCCTGTCGAAGGCTGGATACTTGCCACCCAGAGAAATCTGGATGCTGGCAGCCTTGGAATGGGGCAAAGTTGATTTGAGCCTCCCACACGGGCAGTGCCAAAGCACAGAGACAGTCAAAACACTGCTCCGAGTGAGTCAGATGCATCCATAAATGCGCGAATAGTTGACGAGTGTTTCTCTGACTCCCATTTTGGGTAGGACATTTTGATGGCTTCCGATTGCCATTATACCCTGGATCTGTTTGATTGTTCCACAGTCTAGCATGGAACCTAGCTGGAGGCCATGAAAGCATAGATTTTCTCTAAGGGGCCGGGAAACCAAGGACAAACGGCGTACGGTGGAATATTTCACAGGGGTATGATGGGGTATGGCAGTGCCCTACTGGGAGTGTTTGATGCACCTCGGGGTCCCCGCAAAGGTGGGTCAACGACTTGGAATATGTGCTTCCGCGCGGGCCAAAAGCAAGCCAACCATTGGCTCACGTTTCCAAAACCAAACTTTTAATCATCCGGTCGCACAGTTTTATATTATGAAGGATCCAAACGGTGAACTTTTTTCTGCTGCGTCTTGGGGAGGTGAGCTGGTAGCGGGTGACTGCTTTCGGCATCCAAATGACTGCTCTTCGCATGGGTCCGCCTTGTTCGAAATTCTCGTCGACAGGGATCATGGGTTCTTGGAAGGACATATTTAAGGACTTCGCTCTTTCTTCGGGCGGCCGGCCCCTCCTCCTTGCAGTCTTCATTGGTTCTATTGCTGCGGCGGCCAGTCCTCCTCACACCAGAGAAACAAGTCCGCTTGGGCGCCCAAGGTACACCAAGCCCAGAAGATGTTCTTTTGGGGAAGGGCCCGTTGCCACCTGTCACGATCTCGGGGCTGTCCCAAAGGGATTTTCATAGAATAGCTGGTTTCCCTTTGGCTTCCCTCTTTATCAAGGGCGCTCTCAAAAGGTAGACCCATACATCATGATAAATCCGCCCAGTGGTGCCCGTTCTTCCTGTCTGTGGGAAGGATTCCCCTTCAAAGTCAGCCAACCAAAAAGGGATGCCGTTTCTTCCCATGGCCACTGGGCATTTGAGGGAACCTTACCCGGCCTCGCCCCGATTTGACGCCAGGCGCCCGCATGTCCGCTGGCGCGGCTCCGGGCGCCGTTGGCGCGCCTGGACTCACGGCGGTGCGGCTTGGACGCGTTGGTTTGTGGGTGTGCACTGATGTTTGTTGGTTTGATGTCTTGATTTGTTGATTTAGTTGTTGGTTTTTGCTTTGGCCGATTTGTTGGTTTGTTGATATGTGAGCTTCGTTTGCTGGCTTGTTTGTGTGCATTATTGTTTGTTGGTTTGATTTGGTTTGGTTTGCTTTGCTTTGCTTTGCTTGCTTGCTTGCTTGCCTGCCGTTGATTTTCCTTGAACGGAACCTGCGGCGTTGTAGAGTTTCACTCAGGAGATTTACGGCCACTCTCGGCCACTCCCCGAACGCGGCAGAGGTACAGGCAGCAGCTTCGACGACCGCGCTGCCACCTGGGACACTCCGAGCAGTATGGCCAGGGTAGCTGCTTGGCAGCAGGTGTTAGGAATAAACACGTGAGCCACTTGCTCAAAACCCGGGTAGATTGAAGGTTAGTAAGGGATAATCCCAACCATAAATAGCTGCGGATGTCCGCCTTCTTAGTTCTTTACATGGTTCTGGGTGGATCATTTTGATACCGGGCACCTGGGCCAATGGAATAGAGAACCAAATCCGCAGACATCCATTTGGAGTTTGACCACGGGGAACGGAAAAGCTGATTCCATATCTTCATATTGGTTGGGGTCGTGGATTACCAAGGTCCTTGTCAGTGTGTGGCCAGCCCTTCAAGTAGTTCCACTCCCTCTTGAAAACTTGGAAAGGCGCTTAAACTCAACCTAAAATTGAATCGACAACAGGACAGCCCTGTAGGAGAATCCGCCAAATCGGTGTTGCCCCAGGTTGGCAACTCTCTTGTGTTTCTCTTTGACATGTCCAAAGAATTGGGGCGGCTTTGCTTTCAAACCATCCAACAAGTCGGTTGCTTCCTTTCAAGCCATCCAGCATCACGTGCCATTCCAAAACCGTGCAATCTTCCGCATAGCTTTTGATTCGAGGGATTGAATATCCTCCTAGAGGTCCCCAATTTGGTGTGTCTTTTGTTGGGTACCAAAAAGACGTGGGCCTTTTTTTCCCGGGAAATCCGAGGCTCGGTACCCTCAAAGAGTAACCGAAGCCCGCTGGATGGCCCGGAGCTTAGGCCTGGGTGGCCGGGCTCATCGAGGCGCAGCCCTGGTTCCGCCCGGAGGCGCCGAGGGATTGCATCTGCTTTGGGGGAGGGGGAACTGAAGGGAAACCCAAAAGGAAGCCACAAGGAAACCAGGAAACCACAAGAGTCGGGGCTTTGTCCCGAAAAGGGAGACAAGAGGGATGCGTGGGATGTTCGTAGAACCTCAACAGACCTCCATTTTTTACCTTCTGGTTTCTAAAACCCAACAAAACAAATCGGGCAGGGGGCGTTTCCCAAACAATTCAGATTTCGGGGTCTCTTATGTCTTTCTTCGAAGCTCAGCCTTTCCAAGCTCCAGTGCAGACCCCAGCTGAACGCTTTGAGTCAATCAGCTCGATGGTTCTGAGTTTTCAGAGCTTGAGGTTTGCAGGGAAATATCTGGGGTGGGGATTCCATGGCATTCCCTTCGGAGACAAACCCTTCTTGATACTGGAGAAGAAGCATGTGTGAAACAGAACGGATGGATGGGATAATGTATTGAAGGAGCTAAAACGGCTGGGATCGACATGAGGAACATGAGGATAACCAAACGGATACCGACTGACAGCATCACTACATGAGGATTGGCAAGAACTGGATTGGGGAAGCCAACACATGACGCGCAGAAGTACCAGGGCACGATGTAGATGTGTTTGTTCATAAGGAACATGAACGGATTTCCAGACGTAGGGACCTTTTCTGGCTTTTGAAGAAGGAGTTCCGCAGCACACCATTTGTTGTCGGCTGCCCAGAAATGGACACATGCATTGTTGTTTTCTTTTCATCACCATTTGGCACGTGGTTTTTGGATTGTGATTTGCTACTGGCATCTCTCCAAGACCACTCGATTGAATGGGCGTTGTTCGCTTTGAATGTCCGGCACATTTCCTCGGGATGTCTTTGCCGCGTTTCACGTTGGTGTGAGCCAGCAGACTTCGTTTCAAGGCGAAAGGGCCGGATACTTTATGGTTTGGTACCCGTTTTGGCTCACCATGGCGACGGCAACAGCAATCACAAATTCGATCTTTGTTGCCATGTTGCGGCCAGAGCCGTTTGGGCCGGAAGGTGCGAGACATCCCCAGCTCCAAGATGTTCTTAGACAGGAACAAGCTGTGCCACTGGAGGTTGTGACGGCCAGTGATTGTGGGCCTGTCCAGCCATTGGTCAACTTCAAACACCAAACTGGCCGTCCGGACGCTCATTGCGTTTGTGTTTGGACGGCCATATTGCATTTGCAGTTGAGAGACGGGTAGACAGGCCCACTATCAAGCAGAGGATATGGCAACTCAACGTGAATCGTATTGGATTGCAGTAAGCTGATGCAGAATGTGGCCACAGACCCGAAGCAGAACCCGACGCCTTTTCAGACTGTGTTTTGGCGTAACAGGCAAAGAGAGTCTGCGACAATCCCGGAGTTTTCGCTGCTCCAAGGTCTGCTAAGAAGTTGGGCGCTCGACAGATTTTGAGCGCAGCACCACGTTGCAACATGGAGCCTGGCTCCGGTCGGCGTGCACTGCCAGAAGCTCTACGGAAACCCATTCGCTGGCCGATGGCCAGAGTCATCAAAGTGCTGACTTCACAAGCAATTCCTTGGCCCCTTAGACATGCAGAGACGCTCCTGGACAAATTCCTCTGGGCCCTTGCAGCAACAAGGACGCGGTTTTCTCGCCTCGGTCTGGTATGCGTTTAAGAGGCTGGAAGTGATTCCCCTGAGGGTGACCCTCAGGGGAATTACCTGCAGCCTTCATAGGGGCTACATCAGCGCCGTGCTTCCGCCGAGCAAAGTCATGCACCACTGGCGAGACAAAGCTGCGAAAGAAATTGCGGCAATGGTTGGGAGGTAGGTTGGCGATGTTTGTTTTGCGGAGCAAGCTTGAAGAATGTAGGCAGGGCTGGTATAGGAGAGGGACAAGGTGTAGCAGAGTAGATTGACGGGCGAGTTGCATTTGCTTTGCTTGTGCTCGCTAAAAAAAAGAGAAGTTCAGAACACCTTGGGGAAGGTTCCCATTTGACCGAAATGGCTTTCTTTGCACAAAGCAATTGGGTCTGTCTTCCGGCGAAGCATTGCTTTGCTGAGATTTGCTGGCGACCGGGGAAAAACACCACATGGTTTGCCGATACTTCAGTTGTTGCATCACATGCTGATATATGATAGACATCTATAGATCTATGTGTTGTTTCAAATAGATTACACACCTACGTTACACATCAATATAGACATAGATGTCCCTGTTTTTTGCGGGCACCCTTGTCGGGTTGGCTGAACCGGTGGGGCAAAGGAGCCGCCAGGCGGCGAGTTTTCGTTTTCGACGCGCAGGCCATGGGCAGCTGCTTGGACTTCGGGTGTGGCACAGGCCTCCGGGTCAAGGAGGGTCGAGCTGGCTGGTTGAGAGACGTCCGTTTGGTTTACCACGGCTCGTGGTTTTGGGGGGCCCTTTCTCTTTGGGAGAAGTTTAAACGGCAACCACATTCTGGCATATTTGGGAGGCGGGTGACGCTTAGAATTCCATTTACAATCATTTATAGTTCCATCTCCCTTTTGTCACTCGACTGGCAAAATGGAGTGAGGTAGGAACACCCCCACCCCTTTCACCCCCTGTTTTAAAGGCTAAATGATCATTTCTAACATGTGTCTCCTAGCATGACTTAAGCTAGTTTTCATGTATTCCACAACCCCATTCCAATTATTCAGGCCATTCTAGTTTATATTAAGATGATCGTTCATTTTCCCTTCTGGCGTTGAAGGGAACGTGTCTTGACCTAATAACACATTTTTTTCTTTCTGGTGGCATCTCAAGTCATGGAAGCAAAGACAACCGTCGCCCCAAGCGGCGAGGTGGATATGTTTGCAGGTAAGGGGGTCATTTTCCCATGCAATTGATTTCCATGACAACTTTTGATGAGAACCAACTTGACAACAAGTTCGTTGTTGATTTTGTTTGCCCTGAATGGAGGAACCCCAAAGTCCTCGAGAAGAAAACAACAAACACATACCCACAAAATACACGAGAACAAAGCACATAAACCAAAAAACACATCACTCGACTCCCCTCTCAAAGAAAAACAACACATCAGCAACCTGTCGTCCGTTTGTTTGTTTTCAACCCTCCAAAAAGGGTGCCGTGAAATGTGAAACAAACCCACACCTCCATGGGCCTGGGTGAATTATGACGACCTCACACGACCGAATTCGCCCCAAATGGTGGTTCATGTGGGGAATAGCCCCCAAGCACCTTCTTTCAGGTTGGTGAAGCATTATAATTCTCTCAGACGCCCCCCCCCAAAAAAAAAAAACAGTTACCGTGAAACGTCCCCCCCACACCTCCCTGGGCCCCACCTCCCACGACCTCCCAAGGGAAGCGTCCAGAGTCGAGAGGCCTCCTGGCCTTCCAGCTGCAAGGGCACTGCACCTCGCTGGTGGGCGTGGACACCTCCGAGGGCATGCTGCAGGTCATGGAGGCCGGCCTTCGGGTGCGGCGCAGAGCCGTAGTTTTTGTTTTTGCCTTGAAAGCGCCAGGCACCCGAAGGTGGGGGGGGGGGGTTTTGCCACCCCCCCCCAACTTTTTGTTTGGGACATTGGGGGCCTAGGTTGCCAGTTTTCTGTGATATCGAAAAAGACATAGATCCCGGTTTGGACTGATAAAGTTGTCACGGGAATCAACCAATTTGGTAGCTCAGGATTGGTTGACTCCCGTCCTTCCAGTACCAGGGCTTGCTTTCCCTCAAGGTACACTGCACGAACGTGTTTTTTCACACAAAAATCCACATTATGAGGTTTGGGCAATATTGGTTCATCGCGAGCCTAGTTTGAATCAACCTTGAAATTTTCAATCCAGTCTCCATGTCAGCCCAAAGCCCAACCTTGCCCCAACCTTGCCTCAACATTTTGAAGTTGACATGCAAAGCGCATTGGCGCAATACATGACGGAAGATCATTGAAACCCTTTCGGAAGCCGATCAGTTGGCCTCATTCTAGATCTGCGCTGGAATGTTTTTACACATTGCATTCGACAATGCTTGCCTTTTCTCAACAAAGCGCATGTCATGCTCCTCAGCATGTTTCCGCTTTGACTCCTTTTGACCCAGGTCCACCAACCCCCTGCCCTCAGTTTTGTTGTTCTTCCTCTTTTTTTAAAGAAGGCTCGGCAACTGATCAATCAGCAAAACAGACAATTTAGTACATACGCAATTCAGCAACTGTTTGACGACATGTTTTGGATTGCTGGTTCAGCTATTTGAACCCTGGTGGTTTGTGCAGGGCAAATTTTGGAAACCTGCACTAACCTCCAAACCACCACCAAGGGGGAAGCTGATCAACTGACCCCTTGCGTTGTTTTCTGTCTGGTACTCAGCAGGGGATCAGGGAACGACCCCTATATACCATCCCCGATGGTTTCCTCTCGGGAGTTCCACAACCCTGGGTCATTCCCTGCCTCTCGCACCATGGGTTTTTTCCTCTAGGCGAAGATCTCAGGGGGCGGCCTGGAGACCAAGATGCGGGCGGCGCGGCAGCTGCAAGGCCTGCCGACCTTCGACCTCGTGGTGAGCGCCTTGGCTTCGGGAGGCGCCAGAGCCATCGGCTTCCCGAAACATGACTCTGTGGGGCAGGGGAGGGTTTCCCTTCTAAAATAGACTACAGAACAAAAGTGTACCGTTATTCTATCCTGACCTAGCCAAGTTATAGTGCCATTTTTGCCCTTTCTGTGGAAATACTAGACACATGGAGTTCCAAGTTACTGTTCTTTTCTTTTTCCTTCCAAAAGGAAATACTAGACAAATGGAATTGGGACCCTCCCACCCCGCTCCCCCTTCAGGGGGGGTGTGGATATCCGGGCTTTTCTTGTGGGTTGGTTTACACTTTGAGGCTCAAATATGCGATAGAATCGCAGGTGAGCTGAAGGCGCTTAGATTGCTTGCTCAGAAAGACCAATCCAAATCCAGCTTTACCAATGATCTCATTTTTGGGGAAAAGCTAAGGTAGATATCACGATCCCTCCATTGTTTCATTCCCTGTTTTTCTCTTTTGGCCGCCTATTTTGAAGGGGTGCATATGCCCCTTCTGCTTTGTTCCGACGATTTTGGCTTGATTTCTGTCTGCATTTGTTTTTCATATCCTGGTTTTGCGGGGTGCATCCTCCACGTTCAGTTCCCTTTTTTCGAGCCCGCATTGGCCCGCATTGACCTAAAATGGGACACCCCCATGAATCAACCAAATCTAGACTTTGCCATTTGTTTGTTTGTCTAGCCACCAGGTATCTAGCAGAGACATCCCCGTTTGGGTCCCAGAGCATACCTCACCATGTTCTAAGTTCCCGAGGCACGCTGCTTAGTTCCGTATTATTTCTACTGATCCTTCCTTGCACACAACTCCGGGCAAGAACGCTTCAACAAAAGACTGGGTCGAAAACAATGGACGTGAAATCCCCCCATCCACCCTGAAATTCGCCTTCTTGCGCCTGCCGCGTTTCAGAAAACGCGCTCCCGTGAGGCTTGTTGTGCCTCCATCACGTGCGGGACTGCCAGCAGCAGGTGCAAGAGCTGGCCCGTCACCTGACGCGCCCCGCCAGGATTTGGGGGAAATCATGTGGCCAGGGTTCCAAGTGTTGGGCTTGAACCCGGGGAAGACTGGCCCCCAGGGTGGTTCAAACCCTGGAGACAAATTCCTCAAGTCTTCTTTGGGGTATCCAAACAAATGGGCTCCGTTTCTCGTTTTGAGGGTGTTCTTTTTGTTGGAAGCAAAACGCTAAGCCAAAGATTTGGAGTTACTTGGGGGTGGTTGCAGGTCCCTTTGAGAAGGAGACGGCCAAGGATATTTCAGGTATATGTCCCATGCTGCTTCTAAAGCTGGCAACGTGCTTTGTCTTTCCAGCCACGGAGGACCTGAGCGACGGTCCATTCTCATGAAGGCATGGATGACATTGGGTTCACTCAGTAAACTACTGGCAGCTTATTCCCCTTACCTTGAGTTGCGAAGGTCCGATCACACCACACAGCGATTGCGGGCTCTAACGCCTGTGAACAGGGCTCAGAATATGTTGCCCCCTACAGGGTGGTTTCACATCTCACATGTTTGAAGCTGGCCTGTTATTTGTGACTCTTTTGGTGGTTGGTTATGTTTGGCTCGACATCATGTTGGAACCCCTTGAGATGTCTTGATATTTGGGCAATCTGAGCCTCAGAAAGGGTGAGCGTTTGCTTAATCACTTTACGCGCCATTTGTTGATTGTCATTCTTAAATGAGTTGCCTTTGGGAGAGTGTGACGTTTGAAAGGAACATACAATCACGTCTGCCTGCACACTGGCCTCTTCCACAGAAGTCTGATTGTTAGCGGGGTCGAGCCTGGGCTAAAAAACAGCTAATCTGCCAAACCTTTTGCATCCATTTTCCGTGTGTCATTTGATACTTTTAATCTTTGGGACATTTACGTAAGGCTAAGCTTTGTTCATGATTGCCAAGCCCTTGGCATGTCTTTTCCGGGTGAGCGGCAAAACTATGAAGTAGTTTAGCCAAGGCCTTGCAAGATGCTGCGCCAACGGGGCCGCGAAACCTTCTCGAAAGGGCTGCGCGCAAACTCGTTCGCGCCAAAAGGTGCCCGCGAAAGGGCACGTTTGATGGTCAGACCTTGCATTCCAACTGCCATGTTCGCCGAGGCCACTTGCCGAGTCAGGCCTGTGTAAAAACCATCAGCTTCAGGCGACCAAAGCCTCCGCGCAAGGCGCAGGGCAGGGCCTGGGGTCACCGCGCGCTGAGGCCCGGAGGGCGGATGGTTTTGGTGGACTTCGAGGCGACGGAGAACGCGCGGCTCTTCCACAAGGCCGACCACAGGCGCGCGCGCAAGCGCACGCACGCGCGCGGAATGGGCGAGTGGATGGGAGGGATGTCGGTGGCATATGTTTTGGGGGGATTTTTGGGGGCGGGGTGTGGCAGTGGTAAATAAGATCCGCATTTTGGAGCTGTTCCCTCAGGGTTTGGACCTCTGGGTGCATGCGAACCACGTTGATTCTGAGGCACGGGGCTTTAAAGCTATTTTGGCAGGGGATTCCCCATTGAAATAACCAGATTGTATGATTTGGAGGATACCGACCATGGACCCGTGGGCATGGTGAACTGCGTTCATTGGTCTATTGTGGCCATTGGGGACTCCTCTTTTTCTGAAGGAAACACCTGTGTTTTGGCAGGTGTTTGTGGTAAAGCCAGCTTCATGTGATTCAGCAACCTAGGGTTCGAGCCACTGCAGCCTAGCTTCTACTGAGCATTGGCCAAGAACCTTTGATGGCTGCCGGGGCCCTATGGCTTTGAATCAGCGGACTTGTGGGATGGTTTTGAACAAGTCGGAGAACGTCCCGCAAGAAGGGCCCATGTTCGTAAACCCATGTGGCCAACACTGTCGCAGCATTGAACAACAAGTCGCTGGGAGATGCTGGGAGAAGTATCCTGGTTCTCTATTCCAGCTTCATTTTTGCCTCCCGTCTCGACATTCAAAAGGGGTCTGCGTTCAATGTGCTCGGCCAGGCTGGGTGAGCACTACGAGCATGACGGCGCCCAGCTTGCAGCGCTGGGATTCCAAACCACCTCGTGAACATGGGATTCGTATGGAAGATGGGGAAGGTGTAGCAAATAGACACGGCAACATTGGCCTAGCCCGACCTTACCGAGTATTCTCGATAGCTCGGCTCCTTCTCTTCAACATATGCTGTATGAAACCTGGTTTTGCCACCAGTCCATTCGATCTCACTCATTTTTGGTCATTTCGATTCCGTTGTTCTTTTGTTGTCCTTGCGGACTGGTGCAGGTCGCTGTTCGAAGATAACTGTTGCTGATCAGCTTCAATAGTATCTCGGAACTCAAGGATGAATGAAGGCCTGGTTGATTCACGGGGGCATGTTCCATTCAAAAGAGAATCCTTCAGTGATGAATCTGGGGTTGACCTCAACTGTTGGAAAGCTTCCAATACATCCAAGCCTATCCTTAGCTTCTCAGCTCAAGCCAAATCTGCAGGGTCAGGCCAACTGAAGTGGGATCAATAAATCAACGCCTATGGGCATCGTGTGTTGATCCATGCATCTGCGAATCCACTAGGTATTAAGAGTACAATCTTAGTACCGACAAGACGCGAATCCTGCAGGTTTTTGGTGGTTGATGCTTACTCCGTACTCCTTTTTCGGAAAGGTCTCAAGTGTGGATGGACAAACCGCCAACCGCGCATCCACACCTTTCCGGATGTTAGCTCTTGTTGTAGGGGTACACTTTTTGGGGAAATTACGTGTGTTACTGTACCGCGGGACCCTTTGAAGGAGGAACCGGGACCCTTTTGAGGGTAGGAAAGCAAACCACGGGAAAACCACTAACTCTGGTGGGAAACCACGGGAAGACCACTAATTCTGGTGAGGCAGGAAAGGAAGCCACGGGAACTCCTTAAAGAAAACCACACGAATTCTGACTGTGCCTGTGTTTTGTGGAGTGGGGATATAGCCGTGGCTCAAAAACCCGGTACCCAAAATGGAACCCTAAGTGGAAACATGGACCAAAACCTGCGTAACCCAAAGCCTGTTGATTTTTGAGCCACAGGCAAGGACACCATGCAAACCCCGTGGGAAAATCACTGGAATTATCTCTCTCTCTCTCTCTCTGCATGGGATTTGTGGGGTGTGCTTGTGTTTGTGGAGTGGGGATATTGTTCCGTGTTTTTTTTTTCCCCGGTCCAGGCCTGGTAGCGGAGGAGCTGTTGGGCTGGCTGCGGGCGGCCGACTTGGAGGAGCTGGAGCTGGTGAGGGAGCCCTTCCAAAAGGACCTGGCCGAAGGCGATTTCGATTTCGGCGGGTCGAAAGCCGGGGTCGAAAGCCGAAGGAAAAGCGTGTGGAACCTGCAAGGATTTGGGTCGCACAAATGTGAAGGAAGACCTTGTTGGGATGGTACTTCAGGTCTGATAGCTGGAATCACGACAGCTACAGCTGGTTACTCGAATGGCGAGCCCCAAAACCACAAACATGTAAGTGAGCTAAGACTGAATACATGGTTTCAACGTATCCCACAACCCCATTCTTATTATTCAATGGGATACTTGAAAGGGGAGTAAAGGAACATACACTGTTTTGGGGGTTCCCTATTTGAAGATAGACAACCCGCATAGCCACCAAGGGTTACATCATTCTTCCCTTGGGTTGTGATTTGTGGGTGGAAACCCGCGACAGGTGCATGTCCTAGTGCTCTGTTGCCCATGGTTGGGGCAAATTAAGGGTTTTAGGTGCCACTTGTGGTGATACCAATGGGATGCCCAAAGTTATTACAAGGCGGTCATCATGTCGAGAGCCAAGTGGAGAGAGCTGTCCATCCTTTAAAGGCGACCTCTTTCCTGCGCCCCAGGTTAAATCCAGAGGCCCATCTTGCCAGAGGGTCCCTTGGTACCTCATGAGAATGGCTTTTGGGGGGGAAACAGGGGTCTAAGTACCTCCTCAGAAGGTACCAAGTGACCCTCTAGGTTGGTTTCCGTGCAGAATGACTTGACTGATTCGCGGAGATTCGCAGGCTGGCCCGGCGCTGGCAACTGGGAGACCTTCCAAATGCTCCTCGCCTCCGGCAAAGCCCCGTGAGACTCTGTGACATCTCCGCCGTTTTGCCGCGGAGAAAGAGACCGAAGCGACTTCGCGCAGGTGGCTCGTTTTGGAAAGCGGCCTATTGAACCAGTTTTGGTCAGGAATTGTAGAATCGGCGTGCCTCTGTGTGCCCTGAAAACATCAGCCCACTGAGACGAAACCTCAAATTGTTTTCCCACCAAGACTACCTCGGCTCTTGCACCCCGTCAAAGACACTTGGCCAATCTCAAGTGTGAAAACTGAAGCCAACAAAATGCCCCAAAGCAACATCTACGCAGTGATCCGTGATCCGTGACCCGTGACGCGCAAAAGGGGTCTCAAAGGGCGCCACCCACCCTTTTCAGAGAAAGAACCTTTTTGCAGGAATCAACAAAGGGTCCAAGACCACCTAGGTGCGCGCCAAGCGGACGTCCAGTGAATGACACCTGAGAGAACTTAGGTCAAGTCTCACACCACACCTTCTGGAAGGGAGTTCTTAGTTTTGCGAACCTGTGCATGTCTCCAGGCTGCCAACCACGAACGCCTGAATATTGAACATGTGCCATGCCTCGAGAGTGAATGATTTAGTGTTGTTCTCTTCAGTCCCGTTGTTTTGTTTTGAGGAAAAACTCCCCTCACCCCTAGTCCCGTGCTTTTTGGCTTTGAAGAGCACTTTTCCTTGACCCTTTGGGTTTGGTTTTGGTTTAATCCCAAGATCCCTTGACCCCTTTGGGGATGACCGGAGATTGCGACTTCCTCGACCCCTGGAATCGAATCCCCGGCCTGGCCGTCGCAAGGCCAAGGCCAAAGGCCCGCCGCCGCCCAAGGCCAAGGCCAAGCCCAAGGTGCGGAGACGGGGGCTACTTGGCTGGGGACCTCCAAAGGTTTCTGCGAAAATCGTTGGAGTCTCGGTTTCTCTGGACGTTTCGGGTTTTCCCCTTTCCGTTTTCTGAGATTTATTGAGTGGTTTCTTGTTTTGGGGGGTCCCCAAGTTAGGCTTTCCCTTGGAGTGGTTTCTGTTTTTGCTTATTTTGGGGGGGTCTCCAAGTTTAGGACGTTCCCTTGGAGTGGTTTGAACGGGGGAGTGCTGTCTAATGGCTCGCTGCGCGAAGTTGGGTTCACTGAGCCGCACGTAATGGTAGCGAGCTCACCGCCGGGGGGGGGAATGAGCTTGGGGCCCATGAAGGTTCTCACTGGGATTGCCTGAATTCAGGTTGGCGAACTGAAGTCGTCAGTGCGGCATGAGAGAAGCGAGCCAGTTCCTTTATGACAGCTTGTTTTTGTTTTCTTCTTTTTTTTCTCGAATCGAAAACATATGATCTGTGCATGCTTCAGCTTCGGAGCCACGTGTTGCAGGTGGTCTTTTTCGTCAGACCTGGTGCATTGTCAACTGGTTGCTTGCACAACTCCCACAAGTTCGGGATAGCCTTGTGACCCCGCACAGACTTCGTGACTGCAAGCCTCATCTCCTTAGCTCAATTTGATACCTTTGCTTCAACCTCCCGAAATGCATTCCGTTGCTTGCCTCATCAAAGAGCGGCGGATCCTCCCTGCGGAAAGTCAGACGTAGCAAGTGGTGCTCACCCAGAACCAACGAAGAAAAGTCGGGAGTTTCAACCCCAGAGGGTCCCTTGGTACCTTCTGAGGAGGTGCTTAGACCCCGTTTTACCCCCCAAAAGCCATTCTCATGAGGTACCAAGGGACCCTGGAACCACCCGCTCGGATTTGTTCGGCGCATTTAGAGAGCTTCCGCCAGGCGCCGCCTTTGGCTCAACGCCAGGCCCTGCCGCCGAGGACAGCTTGACTTTGGCGTCGGAAGCAGAGACATGGCGAGTGGTTGTCAAAGCCGTTTTGGTATCCCATTTTTTTGGGGTGGGTGAATTCACCACCCATTTTAATCGGGTACGGGGTTTTGACCCATGGCCACATGGCGAGTGAAGATTCTTCAGGGTAGCTTCCAATTCCATTCTTTCCAGGAATCCGAATGTTTCTAGAGCACGTTTTTGAAAAGAGAAAGTAATGGAATCGGAATCAACCCCTAGAAACATGGTGTGTCGTAGACCGAGGGAAAGTTTGGAGCATTTGGTTGGAGTAACAGTGCGGCTTCGGGAGCGTAGCTGGACCTATATGTATAAGCGGTGTAGCACCGGAAAATGTCCCTGATGAATAGTACCCACACCTTTCTTCGGGGCGTTTCAGATTGGTTTCCTCTTGGTGTCCCTTCAATGTCAGCCAAAACGGAACCACCAAATTGGGGCGGTGTCAGCTGTGGACCGCTTAGCCGCAGCTTCGAGGCGGTTTTGAGGCTTCTGCTTTTTGAGGAGCAACGGCCTGGTGCACATCAACTGGCAGAGAAAGGCTCGGACTCGGATCCGTCATGGAAAGCTCACCCGGTCAATCCAGGGACTCCATATTTTACGTCTCCAGAAAATGGCCCCGGAACTCAAGACATGGAATCCAGCCCGGTCCAGCAGCTTCAGAATGAGACCAAGGCGCGTTTGAGGCAATTCCGGCGCACCAGCCTGTGTTCTTTTCCATTGGGGTCAGTGCCGTAAGTTTCTGAATGAAAGGGCTCATGATCTGTCCCAAATTTTTTGGAACCCACAAAGAGGGCGGTTTCCTTTGGGATCCTTTGGGGCTTCCCTTTGAAACCATGCAATGACTGGGTACCCCAACAACGACGCTCATGCGTCTCTTCAGGCTTCGCTTGTGTACCCCGCAAGGCCTCCCATGAGGCGGACGTCTTTGAGGCGGAGGATGACTTCCTGCGCGGCTTGGCTGCACAAGGCGACTAAAGGGTTTGACCTGAAACCAATGTGGGTGTGGTCCCCCAGCTAGGTGCCCTTGTACCGTTTCTTTTTGGGGGAGGGTTCCCCTACTAAAATGGACAACAGCAAAAAGGGTACCCTTACTCTAACTTTTCTACTGGAGAACCTAGTGGGTGTGGTTGTCAAAAACACCGCTTGGTGCTGGTTCATTTCGCTCAGCGAGTCCAGTCCTGGAGATGTAGCCAGGCGGTTTGGCTGGTCCTTGGAAAAACCTGGCCATGGGCGTGTCATCAGGTGATCCGCATCCTAATGTGAGCCGGGCTGCTTCCATGAGCTTCCGAAAAGGAATTCGAGTGCAAACATTTGATGGGTTTTTAGCAGTTTAGACTCAGATGCAGCAGATGCACATTCAAAGTCACAGTTCAACAGATTCAACAATTTTGAACACATGTTCTGAACTTATTCGATCTCAAATTGACATCACTTCCAACGCATGTTTGCTTGTCGTGCCACCGCGCTTCTGGTTGCTGTGGGACCTTCTGTGCAGCAATGGTGTCTGAAACGCCCTCCTGGCTGCGCACATGAGGATCACAGTATGACTGCTATGACCTCGACTCCGACCACAAGCTCTCCGTAGCCTTCAGCTCCGACGCTTGACATATTGTGTCCGCAGGTTCTTCGACAGTGAAGATCTGGAAGGTGTCGACTGCCAACTGCCTGGCGCTCTCCGGACGCACAGATCTTGTGTGGTCCGTTGCATTCAGCCCCGATGGTTCTCGCGTCGTTTCTGGAAATGTTGACTCTCTGTGAAGCATCCACAGGCAAGTGCCTCCAGACGCTGTCCAGTGTGTGCAGGCATTCCCCATGGATGCTTCCCAGTGCATCGATAGGTGTGAGTGCAGTGGAAGGGCCGTTGGACACACCGCTAGTGTGCTCTCCGTAGCCTTCAGCTCCGACGCTTGACATATTGTGTCCGCAGGTTCTTCGACAGTGAAGATCTGGAAGGTGTCGACTGCCAACTGCCTGGCTCTCTCAGGACGCACAGATCTTGTGTGGTCAGTTGCATTCAGCCCCGATGGTTCTCGCGTCGTTTCTGGAAATGTTGACTCTCTGTGAAGCATCCACAGGCAAGTGCCTCCAGACGCCGTCCAGTGTGTGCAGGCATTCCCCGTGGATGCTTCCCAGTGCATGGATAGGTGTGAGTGCAGTGGAAGGGCCGTTGGACACACCGCTAGTGTGCTCTCCGTAGCCTTCAGCTCCGACGCTTGACATATTGTGTCCGCAGGTTCTTCGACAGTGAAGATCTGGAAGGTGTCGACTGCCAACTGCCTGGCGCTCTCAGGACACACAGATCTTGTGTTGTCCCCGATGGTTCTCGCGTCGTTTCTGGAAATGTTGACTCTCTGTGAAGCATCCACAGGCAAGTGCCTCCAGACGCTGTCCAGTGTGTGCAGGCATTCCCCATGGATGCTTCCCAGTGCATCGATAGGTGTGAGTGCAGTGGAAGGGCCGTTGGACACACCGCTAGTGTGCTCTCCGTAGCCTTCAGCTCCGACGCTTGACATATTGTGTCCGCAGGTTCTTCGACAGTGAAGATCTGGAAGGTGTCGACTGCCAACTGCCTGGCGCTCTCAGGACACACAGATCTTGTGTTGTCAGTTGCACTCAGCCCCGATGGTTCTCGCGTCGTTTCTGGAAATGTTGACTCTCTGTGAAGCATCCACAGGCAAGTGCCTCCAGACGCTGTCCAGCGTGTGCAGGCATTCCCCATGGATGCTTCCCAGTGCATCGATAGGTGTGAGTGCAGTGGAAGGGCCGTTGGACACACCGCTAGTGTGCTCTCCGTAGCCTTCGGCTCCGACGCCTGACATATTGTGCCCGCAGGTTCTTCGACAGTGAAGATCTGGAAGGTGTCGACTGCCAACTGCCTGGCGCTCTCAGAACACACAGGTCTTGTGTGGTCAGTTGCATTCAGCCCCGATGGTTCTCGCGTCGTTTCTGGAAGTGTGAACTCGACTGTCAAAATATGTGAGCATCCACAGGCAAGTGCCTCCAGATGCCGTTCAGTGTCAGGAGGCATTCCCCGTGGATGCTTATATAGGTGTGAGTGCAGTGGGGAGGTGATGACTCGACTTTGCAAATCTGGGATGTATCCACAGGAACATGCCTCCAGACGCTTTTTGGACATGCCACTGTGAAGTCGGTTGCGGTCCACCATGATTGGCTTCACATTGCACGGTGAAAATGTGGGACGCCTCCGTCAAATGACTTCAGACCCTTTCAGGACACACTAGTACTGCTCGTCAGTTTAACCATACTGCCTCCAGATCGTTTCGGGAAGTGATCACAGCACATTGAACATCTGGGAGGCGTCGAATGGCAAGTGCACAAGCCTCTTAGGACACACTTCTAAGTTCAACTTCCTTTAGCCCCGATGCTACCGTCGCATCCTTTCCGGAAGCAACGCTTTCAAACAAAATGGAGCCTTGACACAAGTTTTCTGTTCATTCAGTCTCCAACCCCAAAGGGGGAGTTGCCTTGCGGCGGGATGAAAAAAGGGGCGAACATGTCGGAGCTTGTTTTCTGAAAAACTCCCTTGCCTAATGGACCAAGCAATAAAAGCTGAACCGTTTGGGATGACTAAAGATTAGACCAGGGGGAAACCTACTGCTCCCCGATCCGGTTGATGCGGTGGCAAGTCTCGGCCTCGCGTCTGGCTGACTCCCCCAAATTATCCCACCCAGCAAACTCTGGGACCCCGACTCCTCTAATCTGGTGCTGTGGGAAAGCTTGACGTCACTTTGGCCGATGGGAGCCCAACCGAGAAGTCACCCCTGGCGATTTCGTAGTTTACATGTCTTGGCATTTGGTGGTTTGGATTTGGTGGGTTGCTCCCTCTGTTGAAGCTCGATGGGAAGGTAGTCCCCCGACCTTTGCCAATCCAAGCCACCTGATCCAAACCACCAATAAACTGCAGTTTGACATGGAACCCGAAAAACCCCACCATTTTGTTTGCGTCGGAATCTCCTTGTTGGGGATTGGAGACGTTCTTGGGGCTACCCTCCCACCAGTGAACATGGAACCTGATAAGTCCTGGACGACAATTGTTCCATGCTCATCTCTGTTGCCCAGTGGTGCCTCTTTTTTTTTCTTTCCTCCTTTTTTGGGTAAGGATTCCCTTTTAAAGTCAACCAACCAAAAACAGAATGCCCGCTTTTTTTTTCCCCATGGAACTCCGCTGGGCATCTGAGTCATTTGTGGGGTGCCTCCAGGCCCCATGGCGGCGCTCTCGGGGCAACCCATCGACGCCACCCGGCTGCGCCAGCAGACGGTCTGGGAAGGCGCCGGGGGGGGGGTTGGGGGGGCGGGGGGGTGTTGGGTTGGAAGCAGTCCAGAGACGTACCCAAGTGTATTGAGAGCTAAGGCACCTGTTCGAAGCAACCTAGACCCTTGCGAGCAACTCTGCCATTCTCCCATTTGTGGTTGGAGGATAAAGCAGCGGCTTCTCGATTCCAATGATCTATCAGGTTGCAGATCCATTGATTCATACGTGTTTGTTGTTGTTTGAAATTTGCAGTATTGATTCTTACGCGCTTGAGTTCAATAGGTCCTCTCAATGAGGCACCAACCCAGCTAAACAGATTCACATGTGTGAAAGAACCACAAAAAAAGGAACAACTGCGATAAGAGAAACATCCGGCAAACCGCGATGAGACAAGAGGAGAATTGTCAAGTTTGATCAACATGCGGTCAAACACAATCAATTTCGTTCAAAGCCCGATCAATCTTGTTCAACACTCAAATCAGTGGCAATCGGCACGCTTGCCAACAATCAAAGGGGGAAAACCACCATGAACTGAATTCGACCACTAGCGCCCAACATCATTCTCACCAGCTGTTGCCTGCAGAAATGAAGCCCAACTTTGAAAAGCGAAAACAGGAGTGGCTTTTTAGGAGCCTCTGCATGTTGTGCGGCGAAGCTTTTTGCGTCTCTTGTCGTTGACTCGGTTTCCCCGTCCGATTCCGACTCCGATTCCGACTCCATGGGGCCCCCGCACTCGGAGACTCGGAGGGGAGGCGCCATCGATGCTCACGGAAGCGCAGCTGCAGTACTTCTTCGGCGCGCGCGGGGACGCCCAGGTTGCTTCAGAGGAGTGAACCCCAACAAATCAAGGTGTCGCGGAGGTTTGCTCCCCTTGTTTCTTCTTTTTTTTGTTTCTGTTATTTCTTATTATGTTTTTTATGTTTTCCATTTTTTCCGGAAACTCAGTTGTTTCTTGGCTGGTTCAAGGGGGACACCAATCTTGAGGGCTGCCCTATTTGGAAACAAGCCCAAACTATTGGTCAAAGGCGAGATTTCGATTTTGGTTGGTGAACGTCAACAAGCCTTTGGGGCATTTAGACAAGTAACGTGATTGCAAAGGCTACTGAAGAAACCACTGTCAAGGCACCCACATCAGGACATTCAATCTATGGGAGTTCGCTTGGACCTTCGAACGCAATCCACAACGCAAACCAATGGTTGGACCAATGAGTTTTATGTACATATTATGTAAGTGTTCATCCATGTGTTTGTTGTTTGTTTTTTGTTGGCTTGTTTACTTGTTAACTGTATCTCTAGGTTGACAAATGTGCAGCCTTTCATTGCGGTGCCTATAATGTGTGTATATATGCTTTTCTTGGATGGATGGGCATGGTCGTGCGGAAAGCCAAGAAAGACATCCTCACCTGTTTATGGGCCTAGACAATTCGAAGGCCTACCAAAAGGGGGCCCAACAAGACAGACACGTGCATCTCAAAGGACCGTTTTGAGGGTCTACAGGAATTGGGCAACAGAGCTATCGGCTGTTTGGAGCGGTCAGTTCCATCGCAGTGTCGTGGCCATGTCAGTCGCAAAGAAATCCCGGAAAAGTGAAGGTCAGTGCGAGACAGTCCCAGCCATGAGTATGTACGGCAGCCCAGTTGGGTATGTCCATAGTTTGGGCAGACCATGGCAGACCCCTTTGGTTCTGAGTTTTGGTTGCGACTCATTTAAATACCTATCCCAGCAACGTTTGGATGGGCAAGAGGATGATTTCTGTTTCCCCTCGGCAAGGCAACTCTTTTTAAAAAGCTTAACCACACGTGGAACATAGCTGTCAAACCACTGAATGTAGGCCAAGATAAATTCGAACCCCTGGTGGATCAGAGGGTGCCCCATTGTCTCTTTGGGGGAATCCTTCACTTTTTTGGATGTTTGGCTCGGCCGCCCCTGGACTCGACTTGGAAACCTTGAAGCACACTTGGCAACCTCTTTGGACATGAATTTGGACATCGCAATCAGTTTGACTTTTCGTGAATTGTCCGTAACCTTTCGGAACATGGTTGCCTGAAACTTTCCACACCCACCAACTTGAAGCGTGTGAAGCTTGACCCCCTAGGCTTCCACTGTTCTATCACCTCTTTGGGTCTAATTGTAAGTGAGTTTCCTGCTTCAGAATCTCAGTTAACCCTGTTTTAGGGATGTTTCAAGTGGCAAACCACGCAGAAATGCCCTTTTCCCCTGCGGCTTTTCAGCGTCATTTTGCGAATCCGTCGAGGTTCCCGAGCTCCTCCCAGCTCCGGCAGCCCGGGAGCCCAGTCAAATCCTCCTAAGCTGGGTACCTCTGGATGGACGAAGTCCTGTTGGATGAAACGTGAGCTGAGTTCAACGCCTTGCAGATTAGCAGGAGTTTGTCCAGTCTGCTCATTTTGTTGAACGGACATGATCTATTGACTTTAGCTATCACCTAGGGAACCACCTTTTCAAGAGCATGTCAAAAGACAATTGCTGGTCACCTGCTATGGTCATTCTTCAATGGAAATCATGTCTCCCTGCCAATAAGTGGCTTCGTGCTGCGTGGAGCTCACGAGTTGCGCGTTCTGCTTAAAAGAGCCGCAGGTTGCTAGTGTATACTCGGATTCGCTGCGTTTTACGGGTATGGTTGTATACCACCAAACTGCTTGTACCAGAGTAATCTTTCCATTTTACCTATGCCAAGGGAACCTGTGCAAAGCACAACATTAGTAGCTGGGACCTGGGTAAGTTGTGGCCTAACCAAAGGGACACCGGGCCTCTTGACAACAAGTGAGGTTTGGTCAGAATGTCGAGTCTATGGTCCATTTGGGACAGACACGGGGAAGGACCGAATTGTCCAATTCCAGCGGACGAGCCCGAAGAATCTCATGTCCTCTTGGGAAAGCAAGTAGTTTTGACAGACTGGCTCACATGGAGCCCGAGAAAACAAAGGGACCCTTCCTAGCACCCCAGATCATCTTTCCCCTCCCAAAACAAGGTGTCGCTAAGTTCGTTTGAAGTGTTCCGATTGGATTGTGACTGTGTGCTGCCACTGGCTTGTTGCCACGCAAAGCCGTGCACAAATTGGTTTTGTGCAGTGCGTTGCGCATGTGTCAGAGTTGGTTGGACACCTGTTTCAATAGTCTGTTTCAAAATGCTTGCAAGTTGTAAGGGTTTTCTTTGTTGGGAACCTTTGTTCCTCATCCTATGTTTTGCTGCTTTTTAGTGATCACTGACTTTACTGCGGGTCGGACACGTTTCGGCTTGTTTTCCCACGGGTTGGTAGTCTTTTTGCTTTGGTTCCTTGCTTCATTGAGCAGTACCCAAACCCTCTGTTGGCCAATGTAGAAGGGGCTCCCCTCCCTGGATATATATATATATATATAATATATATATATATAATATATATATAATATATATGTATATATGTATATATTTAGCGAGGCGCAATATAAGTTTGTATTACCGTAAAGCCAAGGTTCACTTCCATTGCTTGGATTTGGCGCTCTCCCAGAGCAGAATGTTCCAGCCAAAGCCAAAGGATGGGTTTCGGGTCGCGGCGTGCGATGGACGGCTCTGGGATCTGAGGTCGATCCAACCCCAGCTCCGGCAGCAGTACTCCGGCAGGCGACGTCGGAGTGATTTAACGGCTCCATGTAGTCTGGTTGAGTTCCATTGGGCTCAACCAAGGTCGGCACTTAATTTGTTTCAGCACTTGAGACTCGGCGAGTCTTCACCCGAATCACTTGGAGTCCTCGGGTTCGCGCGGGTTTCGCCCGCAACGGCGCCTCGAGTATCTCGCTTCGCTTGGAGCGCGCTTTTTTTCAGGCGCGCGGGCCAAAGCAGCTCCAGTCTTCAGCCAGAGGCCCAGTGCCACTTCAGTCGGTTCTTGCTGCTCTTCTTGGTTTCCCGGAAAAAAGATGACCCCAAACCCAAAATGGGCTTTGGGACGAACCCAATTTTGAGCTCCTTTCATTGGTTAGATAGGCCAAGGACATGTGGATGTTCCTGGTCCCAAACGAAGGACTGCCGAGTGGCGAGCAATTCGTGGGAAGGAAGTGGCAGACATGGCGCTGGCATTTTAGTTGCCGACATCTTCAGCTGTAGTAAAAGGTGACGGGCATCAAGCAAATCACACAGGAGAGAAATAGGGATGTGCGTGTGTGGTGCGTGCGTTTGTGCATCTGTGCTTTTTGAGAACGCGCCCATCTAAAGGGCGGTGTCCCTTTTCCTTGAGACTGAGGTATGATCAAGCAGCGCTTGCTTGATGACCGCACTATCAGGACGCAGTCCACTGTCACAGGGGCCAAATGTGACACCTGGGGAATGGTAAGAACATCTTAATTAGGCCACAAACCTTTGTTCCCTGTACCTTCTACCTCAATCCAACCTCGTTGCTGCAAGAGCAATGTCATGTGCAGGGCCTACAGGAATTGGGATGGCCCTTGAGTGGGTTTTACAGTCACTCCAAAGGCGGTCCCGAGCAAGTGTTCACATGCCTGCGAGGCTTTGTCTGCGAATGCGTTGATGCAGATACGTGGACTTGTGGATAGGTTTTAAAATCTATGGCCATGTCCCAGAAATTCAGGCAGGCTGCGGGTACCCTAGCATCCCGGATGGTTTGGATCGATTTCTTGATTGTCCCAAGGCACTGCCAGCTTCTAAGATGATCTGTACTATCCCCCGATCACTACCCCAAAGCAAAATTGGGTTATGCAACCACTCTATGGCCGCTAAATATAAGGGGTACACACCCACTTTTTAGCTTAGCTTCCCTGGCGGGTGCTCCAGTGGAAACTCTGACGGGTTGGTGCCTCGTCGGTTTTGGGTGGGCCTGTTGCGGTTTTTGATGATGCTGTTGTGACCGCATTTTTTCGGGAAAAAAGAACTGGGGCGTACCCACTACATAAATGGCAGGCGTACCCCAAAGTTTCCCTTGAGACAAGCTGTTTGGAGGTAGTGAAACCCTTCCTAATTCGTTACATTCCTCCAACCTGTCAAAGGGAAAGGGTGATTTGGCTTGCGAATGAAAATTGTCTTTGGGCTTTGAACATCTAACTTGACTAGGCTTCGATTTCTCTGATTTGTTTGGTTGGGCTTTGAGCTTTTCAAGCGAACTTCCGTTTTTGGGATGCGTTTGCAAGCAAACTTTGGTGCATTTTGCTTGGATGTTAGGACTTTAACTTTTTGCCAACTAATGGAGTTTCCGTTAAACCACGAAAATTTCAACTTTAGCAGGGGAGCAGAAAGTAACCGAGCAAAGCAATGCCCGGCGTTTTTAAGGAGCGCTGGCCTCTTTCTGGCGCGCTACCGGATGCGGCGACATCGGCCCTCCAACCCAAAGGCCTTGGTGGAGGAGCCCATTTGCGTCAGCGGTCAGGCTAGGTCCCCCAGTGGTGCCCTTTCACTCTGTTTGTGGGTACTGGAGGACCTAGTAACCACCCTTCTTCCAAGAGGAAACCACATTTTTGGGGGGGTTCCCCCATTCGAACACATGCACATACTTCCCTTTTATATTGCGAGCTCGCTTATGATGGAAGTCCTTTAGTTGAGGACTCCTTGGTCGACTCCAGCTTGCATTGCACCCCCAAAGTGGCTAGTGATTATCCAGGTCTTTGCAGCTCCAACGTGCGCGACGTGAAAAGCCCCTTATCCTTCTGTCCACGTTGCCATTGAACCCACCAGAGAAATCGTTTTTTATTTTTATTTTTATTTTTCCGATGGTCCCCTTTTAACAGAAAGTCGTCCAAACCAGGACCACCCAAAAGGCCAGTCAGGTTCCATGGCAATGTGGATGGGAGGGTCTCGCTAGGAGATCTTCAAAGCCTTCCTCCAGTGCACCATCGTCAAGGCCGGATAAGAATCCGTGTCTCCAGTTGTTTGCTTTTTTGCCTTGAGGGTTGTGGGTGTGGTTACATTTATCAAGGTGCCAGTTTGGGCAATATTTTGCTGAGGCCACACCCGTACGTATTCCTTTGCAAAAAGACATGGACCCCGCAATGTTTGGGGGGACCCGTTTTTCATTTCCAGAGTGACACCTCCAGCGTTGCTCACAGGGTTCGACGTAATCATACGAACAAGTGCCCAAGTGGGGCCACTTTGAAGGCCCTGAGTTTTGCGAGGGATGCGAGCGGACTCTTTTGGCAGTTGCTTGAAGGCAACGCCCAAAGGATCACCACCCCAATTTGAAGAAGACCAACCCAAGTTCGGTGAAACGTTCCAGTCTCTGGTCCATTGAACATCAGCATTCCCCACAAAAACCAGGGGACGAGCCCTGATCTTCGCGTCTTTGAGGCATGAGCCAAAGGGACCGGATAAAGGCGCGCCAGCCGGCGGTCAGCCGCCAAGCGATGCGCAGGATGACCACGGCTTGGAGAACTTGAGAGAAGCCGTGGAGGGCTATGTGGAGGCGCTGCGTCTTTTTTGCTTCTTGGTGGCTTCTGTGGACTTCATGCGCGTTTCGCCCCGAAAAGGTACCCAGAGAAAGCCATCCGCATGTAGCTTCTGAGACACAGGCAAGTCTTTGGAGGATTTTGGTTGTTTACTCTCTCTCTCTCTCTTTTGGGGGGAGATTGGGGGTCCCAATGAATCAAAGGGTGCAAGACCGTTTTGACTGATGCTTGTTGGGGTTACGGAATGCGTCTAGCGCCTGCGGCGCACCCCTCCAGACGACCCCCAAACGATATCCACCGAGTTGTACAGGAACCCAGCAGTCGAGGCTTGAAGTAGCAGAGCGTCATGTCATGCCATGCCGCAATTCCAACCATCTGACCATCCAATCCCTAGAACAACTCCGCAGTCCAAACGAGGTGGACCGTTGCACAAACCTCCCAAGATCCGTCTTCCAGGTGCTTAGGGTGTCACCAAGCACTTTGCCCTGTGTATTTACCAGTCATATCCAGTGGCTACTCACTGCTTTTCCTCTCGACTGGGGCTTCGCTGTCCTTTGTGCAAGCTGAGGAGGCCCATCCATTTACTTCAAGGACTTAGCTTCAAGCCATTCCGATTCTGGTGCAAGGAACGTGGTTTGGGGCATTTGTATGAGCGCCCGATTAGCCGTTTTTTGTTTTGTTTTAGAAAGATGTGTCTTGAACAGGGACGACCAGCAAACATGGTACGTGGCCCATGCGCATGGCCCGTGGGGGCAAACAACCGCCCTGGGTGGGCGTCAAATTCAAATCGCCAATACATCAGCGATTGTGTGGAGCCCATTGTGGCAACAGAAGCGGGACTGCCTCGTGGTGTCCTTGTCGATCCAGCTTTTTAAAGCAGTTCCGCCATTAGACGGAAGGAAGCGTTTGGACATTTTGGTCGCCACTTTTTTGCCCACATCTAGGAAAGCAAATACTGATGTCCTGGCTTCCACCGATGTCTCACTTCCTGTTTCTTGAAAGCGCTTCCCACTGTTTTGGCCGCTGCCCCCCCTTTAAGAACGTCCATCATTTCTGTTTTGCACGTGCTTGCATTTCACCTCCAAACTTGGATGTCTGTCAAACTAGGGGCACACTTTCAACTTGCAAGCGGCAACCTTCCGTTTGGTTTCCACTCTTTTGAGTGACGCTCGAAGCTCGGTGCAGGGGGGGCGCCCCATCGCGAGCTTTGTGCAAGTCCGGAACCCGGGCCTGACTCGGTAGTCCTTGTTTGTGATTTAAAGGAAGGGAGGCCAGGAAACCCTGTTGCGGCTAGCTCCCCTATCCAAAGAACCAGCCGAAATAGCGTCTTACCCAATTTCGTAGCTGGTACTTGCATTTCTAGGGGTCCTGCGTCTCAAAGTCAGCAAGCAAGGACGCTGAGTGTTGGGTTTTTCTCAACAGAACCAATGAGGAAAAGGGATCAACCTTGGTGGCCCTGAACTTTGACAGCCATCAAATTTTGCTGGATATGGGACCAACCTAGAGTCGGTATATATTTTCTGGTGGGACATATCACACGAGCTTTGGCCAAGAAGTCCAGCAGTCTACGGGAAACTTATGAAGTGTTCCACCAAAAACCTGGTGACTCACCAAATTCGCATCTGATCAAGAGAAAAAGCAACCCCAAAAACAACACCGCCCCAAAACAGTCCATTTTCCAAGAACCGGGTTTCGGGTTTTCTGGGGAAATTCCCTAATCCCGGGAACAGCCTCACGTAGCGCCCCCCCCCTTCCGACCCCGGCGGTGGTCTGCACAGTTTTGGTCGGGAACAGTCTCAGGCTCAGGGCCCGGAGGCCCTCGGCAACTGCGAGCCGGAGGCGGAGCATCGGCTCCTGCACGAGGCCTTCGATTTGTTTCGCTCTTGCGTCGCGTGGTTCGCCGGCGGAAATAGCGGGGCTGAACCCAAGGCCTAGGGTTCAGCCCATGGCAGGGACTGAAGGTTCCGGAAATTGGAGTGCGGCTGGGAGTACAAGGCCTGGGGAGAAAAGGTTCCAAAGGCAAGGGCCGAAGTTAGATATGACAAGGCGTTGGTAACAAATGGTTATATTAGTTATATTCCAAACCCCCCACTGCTTGCATGGTTGCATCCCAGGGGAAATGTTTGGATGTTGTGGTGGTTTTTCACTTTTCGGCCTCGGGCGACCCCCTTAAACCACCACTTAGAGTTTTGGTGAGGGGGCCACTTTAATGCAGTAACCCAGTAACCCAACAGAACGCAAGCTTCCTGTTTGAAGGTGTTCTTTTGCACAATAATGACGGGCTTCTTTTTAGTCAAGGTTGAGGGGTCTGGTGAATTGCCTATCATAGCCCAGCAAACCTGCAAGCCGTGGTAGCTCACAGGGTTTTTCTTGCATTAGTTGCCATCTTCAGATCAGGCGTATCGGCCGGCCTGGGTTCTGTTTGCTTGGGCCCGGTCGGTTCTAGCCGGCCTTCCCGCGGGACGGACGTTGATACGGCGATCAATGTGGAAAGGCGTGGGCCAAATTGGGCCAAGTGCACCCCCCCTCCAATCCTACCCACCAGGACAAAAACAATCACAAGGAAGCCGAGCAGAAGACCTGGAGCGCAAACAGTTTTTCGTGGGACATGTTGCAAAGGCAAGCATGCAGAACATGCAAACACCCAGCGTGCTTTATGCCCTCTCCGATTTGAAGTCGTCGATTGGATTTTGTGGAGGGGGATGTGAGCTGTCTAGATACCATCCAATCCACAAGTCAATAGGCGGGCGCCTCTTTTGTGTGTCTTACCTGTTATGAGCCCCCTGTAGAATTCATTCCGAGTTTTGGGGCACAGCCATATTGTTCGAGCATCGCCGTGTCTCCAAAGTCAAAGTCACAACTGTTGCCAAGGCCATAGTTGAGAATGAGGCTTTGGAATGCAACTTTCTGTATCAACAAACCAGTAGTCATGGGTGGCCTATCTTGGCCCCAAGTCATTTCCAGAACCTTCTCTTCAAAAAAGATGCTCCGAATACGTGCCCATTGCTTGATGCTCCCTTCTAAGTGTGAGGCTTGCCCATGCCCTCTGTACTCCAACACCAGGACATCAGCCATGAGGGCTCCTTTTTTGACACCCCTGATTTCCTGTCAGATGAGCACCATCCCCGGCATCAACGAGCGGATGCGATGCCGGGCCTTTAGATTTCCATCATTCCACCGCCTCGGTGGGGACAATGCAGGCTCACGAGCCAAATGCGAACACTGACGTGCCAACTTCTGGTGATGGATGTTTGGCGGAAATCCATTTGAGTGGGGACGGTTTGGCCGAACAAGGGTCAGGTTCAAAAAGTCTCCTAAAGCTGATCGGACGTGTTGTGAGAAACGGAGGTGGCAGACGATGGACCCAATGAGTTTCACGCGATGTGCGGCTGGTTGAGAGCAGGTTTGGCATAAACCTTCGTGTCCGACCGGATGAAAAGAGTCTTTCAAGTTGCCTCCACTCGTTCTTGAGAGGCCGAGGGATTCCGACTTCAATGATCCCAAGGAAAAGTTGCTTGCTTCCAAGCTTCCAAACTATATGTCATATGGTTTCCAAGGGCACCATCTTAACATGGGACATAATTTTGACAGGTTTCTTATGGACGCTTCCAAGCTTCTTGCGTCCAGGACTCGGACTTGACGCCGCACCGCGTGAGGCTTTCGGATCCAGTCCTCTTGGGACAAGGAGGCTGCCAAGTGCAAGAATGACCTTGAGGCGCGGTTTGCTTCCAGCGCTGGCTTCTTCAGCGCTGGAAATGGAGACTCTCTTTTGTGTTTAGGCGAGTGAACGGAAGCCCCAAAAGCATTTTTCGGCAATCAAGATAAAATCTGGTCTGGGAATGTTCTGCTTTGGCTCTGGTCAGTTTGGAGGACATGGGTGGACTCAACATGCGCAAAACCGAACCAGGGGGGCTCATGTCGGCGGGGATGGCTCACATGAGCTGACTAGATTGGTCGTCACTTGGCAAGGAGGGCGTTGGAAGATACATTTCTTCCACGGAACTCTGATCGGCTGAACATTTTCAAGGGTTGATAGGCTCAGCGAATCAGGCGCAAGCAGGAGGTTTTTTGGGAGGGTGTTATCGAGAAGCTCTTATTTGACCTGCTTTGACTCATTGGGTCACATGAAAAAGTGTCCGGGTCCGAACATGAGGGAGTGGCTTTCCTTTAGACCAACCCAAAAAACAGCCGAGAGCCTCCACAAACGACAGACCCATGCCATGGGCGTGGCTCAAAAACGAGTCGCGAGGTGCTGCAGTCAGGCCTCAAAGTGCGCCGACTGGGTAGCAGCTCGAATGACCCCAAAGAAAGCAATCCAGCTGCTGGTTTCCTTTAAGGGGAATCCCTGGGTTGCACCAGCCAGCGGAAATGGGTGTGTGTATTTTGTAGGGGACACATCCCCTCTTTGGGTTTTGAATGGAGACCAGTTCAGGACAGCCAGCCTGTTTTTTTTGGGTTTCCCTCCTCGGGAATCCCAAATTCGTTCCCTTCTGTACGCTGATTTGGAGCCAGGGAGCCATTAGCAACGCATTGACTGGGATTATCTGGGATTGGTGGAATAGCTGGCAGCTTTAAAATGGAATTTTCTACACTCCAAGAGCACTTGTTGGACTACTATATGATTGAATTTCCTCTTGGTTGAGGGGAAGTATAGGGAACCCTTTAACCACTGCTAGGAGTCTCTATCATGGATCCATTATTCAGTTGAGCTAAGACAAGTAGAATGAGGTTGTGGGGCATTGTGGGGTACTTGAAAACCACATTTAGTCATGATCACAAGGGAGCCAATTAAGGTCCAAGGACCATATGCTTCCAATCGCTGCGCTTGGCTGTGGTTGACATCGCTGGAGAGGTACTCACCACCCGCAAAGACGTGTTGCGGAAATTCTTCAGCCAGGTGCGAAGACATGTCGGGATTTCGACCCCAATGGCTGCCATTTTTTTAAAGACTAACCCTGTGGGAATTCTCTCAAATAACACGCTCAGATACTTGCCTCGTTGGTGAACGCATTGTTTGAGCCAAAGCCGATTCGAGCAGTGGTAGGCGACTGTCCCATGTGAGGAAAGCAAGAATCAGCTTGTGGAGGTTTTTGGTAGAGTCCTTTAGCTGAAAGGGGAGTGCATACCTGAGTTGGCAAGCTTGGCTTTGTCGTGATTTGAGCAAAGACCAGAACAATGTGAGCTTTGGCTCGACCGATAGCTTGGTAGGTAATTGGTATTTGTGAAAACGACTACGTGGGCCATTTTAGGAGTGGCTTGACTCCCAGGTTTAATCGGCCATAGTGTGGCACTATAAGCCTTGATAATATCTTGGTAGAACGAACACTGGATTCAGGAGGGTCGACCTGCTTTTGGCCCATGGCTACGTAGTTCAATCCTTAGACTAGCGCGCGCTTGTAACAAACTGCTTGGCTCAGATTAGATGGGCGTTCCTCACAATTGCAAAGAGAGCTGCGCAGCGCAATAACTGTGTGTGCAGGGGCAAACCGAATGGAGTTGGTACATACTCGGGTTGGTTGTCTAGGCAAACCAACTGGACACCAACCAGTTTGGCCTCAATACTTCGTTTAGCAAACCATTTGTTCTCCTTGCGCTCGGGCATATGAATCAGTCTGTTCTATATGTACAAGGGGGTGTGGTAGATTCTGTTTGAGGCATACCCTTCACGGAAAGCACGAGGTTATCTCACTAGACAGAGAAGCCCATGTCCGACTAGTTTTCCATTGTTTTTCCGTTTCCTTTCAGGGAGCAACCCACTGTTCTGCTTTCATGACAGCCCCCCAGACCCCCCCTCCCCCAAACAGAGAGCGGGGTTTTGGCTGCCTTTTCACCTGGGAAGCGGCACCAAAAAGGAGAACCAAGGCAGACACCTGCCTGGCCAGGCATTGAAGCTCGGCAATGAGCTGAACCAGGAGATCAGTCTGTTTGTTTGGTACCTGCAAAGTGAAGGGAAGGAACCCAAAAAGGTCCAACAAAGGAGGTTCCTCCAAGAATGCCGGGTTGGGGGCTGATCAAAAGGTCCTTTGCAAGAGGCTATTTCCCACTAAATGGGAACAGTTACCCAGTCATCTGGGGCCAGGAATATTGATCAACGTCCATGTGAAGTTGTAGGTATAGGGATGCCTCAGGCTTGTGAACTCTAGAGGATTGCCCAGATGTTTCAGGAACCCTTCAAACTTTGGGTTCCTCGCCTTTCCGGACCCCGTGTTCGGAAGTTGAGAAATGATAGTGATTGTCTTGGAGGGCCGGGGCCGGCACCGCTCATTGCTGCACCTCGCATGTGGATTTTGGCCACCAATCTTGCTTTGAATGAAGTCGCGAGCTATCTGTTGCCTCTCAATTTCCCAGGCGATTCCAAGGATTGACAAAGGTCCAAATGACTGTGGGTCAAGAATAGGTTCCCAATTTGGGAACCCTGGTAAATGAAACAAAGGACTAAAACCTGCGCTACGCTGGTGGTGTAATTTTGACCCATACCCAAATTATTGCGATTGTTGACATTGCGGGGGGTATTTGTGAGACTCCGCCATTGAAGGAGATGAATCTAGGCAAGCCTGCCCCGGCCTGCAGATTCCCAAAATTGCAGGCGAGCCAACAAAAATCGTTGGAAGCATGTTCGGCCGCCCTTGGTCACCGATTCAATTTCCCGCTGCAATGCACTAACCAAGGGCAGCTGTTTGCCTGGTATCATTCAGGATTGAAGACGTGCCTGGAATCCCTGAAGGGAATGCAACCATATATTTGTCGAAAATGGGCGCCACATTTCAAACCACCCCGCAAAAGTGAATGTAACCCAATACCGCCTCCCTCCCCCAAGAGAGAGGGGGTTCCCTTGAAGCATGGCTGGGGTTCCTGCTTCCCTTCATTCCCTCTCACCTCTAGCGCTCCCTCTGCCATCCCCAGTCCCCAGTTATGAAACTCCGGCAAACATCTATGGCATATGGGCCCTGCCTCAATCCAAAAACGTGTTGGCTCCTACACTCTTGAGTTCCGCTGTTTGGCTTTTCCTTCAAAACACAAGGCTTTGCTTGCTGGTGCGATTAGCAGGGAATGAGGGGATGACCCGGAAAAAATACATCCAACTGCTGGTATCTTAGTCTGATGATTGAAACAACATGTCCATGAACTAACTCACCAAGCTTTCCTGATTTGTTCCATTCTGCTAAACTCTTGGGTTCAACTGCTTGGTTTCCTTCCAGCCACGCTTTGGTTTCCATCTGAGAAACCGGTCGGCCAGGAGGCCGGCGGCCCCTTGGCGCCGTTCGGCTTCCGCTTGAGCTGCTTAGAGACCTTGGCCCACACCAAGCCCGGGGCCCCAAGACAGAACGGCGGCGTTTGTTTGCTTTTTTGTTGTTTGTTTTTTCTCGAGTTGATACCCTTCTGAAACCTGAGAAAGGAGACGTTTGTTTCTCAAAAAGTGGAGAAAACGAAGGGTCCACCTCAATGGCCCCTGGGGGAGGGGAAGTCGGACTTGTTCACCGACCGATGGCCATGGACGCCCCGCGATTCCCCGAATGGACCACTGGGATCATGAGCCCGATCGCTCCAGCTGCAAGGGTACCTCCCTCAGACGCTCCATTTGGATGCCATCACTCATCGCCCAGATTGAGGGCGATGAGCGAACTCTGGAAGTTGATTGCCGGCATTGTGGGGGCGACAATCCCAAGCTGCACCAAGATATGGCTCAACATTCCATCAGTTTCTATGTCTCAGCAGCAGCTTTCTTGGGGTCAAGATCCCCAACATCACCGGGCAGGGTAGCTAACAATGCCGTCAACATTGTCATCAATAGGCTAGGGGTCAACATGCAGCACCGGGTTGACCTGCCCCCGATCTGTCAACCAGATCAAGATTGACAATAGCTTTGATATCCATCGTTCTAAATTGGACAACCATGCACAGCCTTTCCTGCTCAAGAGTACCGTCTTCAATTTCTCTGATGCTAAACTGGCCGTAAAGATTCCATTGAAGCGGAACCATCCTTGAACGAAGATTGTTCAAGATATGCTCGGCGCGAGGTCTCCTTGGCGCCCCAAGATCTCTCTGCTGCACCTTGTGTTGGGGCTGATGTCCGCAGAGGAGGCCGGGGTTCATTTCAGCTCCTGCAGGCCATTTGACTGGTCCGGGCGAACACATCATGGCTCAGGTGTTCGCAGATCTGCAGCAGACACCCAATGAGCTCCAGAATCATTTTTAGGCTACCGGTTTGCTTATTGGAGTTTTGGACATACACGACAAGAAGGTTGTTGTTGTTTTCTTTTTTTCTGGCTTCGCTATGTGGTCGTCAGCAGCAGTTTTTGTTGTGGGTTGTCGAAGGGAACGCAGTGTCCAGGTTCAAACCTTGCAGTTTGCTGATCAAACTGGCCAAATTGAACTGAGCTGGTTTGCACCGCTATGTGCCATCAGCTCCAAACCCGCAGTTTTAACCCCCGTTGAAAGGCTTTCCAACTTTGAATCAAAATGCGCCATGGCAAAGGCCGGGGATTGCGTGCCAATGGACAAAACTTTGATCTTCGCCTCCGCGCGGTGCCTCGCGCTGAGTGTCGTGTCCATAGGTGTTTTTTTTAGTCGTTTTGCCAGAAACATATGTGGCGATTCCTGGTTTACCCGGTGGTTCAATCAGCTACCAGGGCCATCCACTTCCCCTACAAGGACAACGGTCGCGTCGCGCTGAGTGTCGCTCGCGCGAGGTGGAGCGCCTGGCGGGGCTGCAGCACTTGGACCCCATCCGGGCGCACGGGCTGCTAGGCGCGGAAGGGAGCGGCATGGGGTCGAACCTAAGGGATACAAACGGTGTCCGTCCTAGGGGTCAAACCCCTAGGGGTACCCCCAGGAAAGCCCCTCAAGTGATCACTTCCCAAACCCACAGGCACCCAAGCAAGCGCAAAGGTTCGCCGAACCCTTGCCAGAGAACTCCCGGCCCTTTTTTCCCCGGGTGGCGACTCACCCGGAAAAGGACCGACCCGTTCGCAGGGAAGAGCTCCGGGGTCCAAGAGCGCTGCCGCGACCTGGTGACCTCAATGGCCAAGCTCCGACAGACCGCGCAGCAGGCCAGGACGAGAGCCAAGCAAGCCGAATAGCTACGAAGAATCGATCCAAACGAGTGGTGTCCTTTTTTGAGGGTGTATGGGTGTTTGCCTTTTCTTTTGGTGTTTCACAGTGTGTGTATGTTTTGTTAACGGAACGCCACAAGGCAAAGCGATCACCATTTGGGGGGCTTTAGACAGACCTATATAGAAGTATGTGTTAAATGAAAGTACGGGACCCGACAGATGTATTGTTTGCTTTTCTCGCGGACTGCCACGTTTTGCCTATGGCCACCTGGATGAAGTTTAACTTGGGCAGTGGCGTAGGGCCCAGCCAGACTTTCCTCTTGTCGTTGCTGCGAAGGACGAGAGGTTTCTCGATGTGTTGATTCAAGTTCTTGCCGTGGCGTGTGTTTCTTCCCAGCTTGGAGGTTTTGGGAGGTGAGGGTGGGCGGCTGATTTGTGTCATTTTGGCCTTAGGCCATACCTGGCACGAGCTCAAGCGCGGCGCGTGAGTCATGTTTCCACCCGGCGCCTCCAGCAAGGACTTTGTGTGAGAATAAAAGCATGGGATGTTGCATGGTGAGGTTGGTTTTCGTGCAAGTAATGTGGACAGTTTGCACCATGTGGTTTTCCACAGGAACTGCAATGGCTGGGAACGGTTCTATCTTTCTCGAGGTAAAAGGCAGTTCTGTCCTACCACTTGCCCAGGACCTGGGAATTAGCCGTACATGAACTTGCCGTGTAGCAACCCCGGGGGAAAAAGAACACAAAACAATCAACGCCTTCGTTGGCCCTGTTGGAAAAAAAGGCACCGCGAGGCGGACAAATCCCTCGGGCCTAAAACTTTCTCCAGGTGCCTCAGAAGCGCTCGGCCGACAAGGCTGGGGGCATCTTGGGGCCTGGTGCCACAGGCTATGTCCAGGCCTTCCAGTCAAGCCGGAAAGAAAAAGACCACGGATTCACGGATTTACGGATAGGGTGTAACGAGTTGTTTCGTAGGGTCGTTTGGGGCTAGCTGATGCTATCCGATTAGCAGCTTCAGCTTTGGAGCTTTTCAGCATATATGGCTTGAACCCAGGATGTGACTGCAGCACGCGCAGCTGTGACTGGACATTGCAACGGTCCCTCTTGGCCTCTTGGTGACACACTGGAAACGAGCCAAGGACTATCAACCCAAAGGCCACTCCCAACCAGCAAGGCCTTATTTGGCCTTACGGCGCATTCATCCCTAATCCTTTGGCAACAGGTCGTTGGACGGTTTGGTCCCTGGAAATTGCGCATGGGAAGGTGGAATGCGTCAAGTTGCACCGTTCAGGGCCAAGGTTCAGTATAGCCTGGGTTCAAATAATTACTTTCGAAGCTGGACTTCTGAATAGATGTCTTACATGTCTCCGGGTATGTTGGGTTATGTGCGGGATGTCCGGGTGCTGTTGGGAATGTTGGGATTGCCAGTGGGAGTGTCTCAGTCTTGGGGAAGCTGCTTTCAGCTGGGTTGTTGTGATGACAAACAGTACGAGTATCCGCCGGCCCCTGTGCGTTCAAAAGTTGCCTCGGATACTGGCTCACAACAATGTGAAAGGCGACACAGACATCCCGAGAATATGCATCGAACATTCAAATCAACAAGCCATGTGAATTACATCTATTTGTATTGAAGATATTACGGTGTCAAGTCATGTTGCCACCACGATGCAGCCACACAGCGAGTGTGTTGATGCTTTGCGTGCGCCGCCCGAGGTGTGGCCACAAGGGCGACTGCAACAGAAATCGCAAACTCAATCTGTGGTGCTTGCCATGTTGTGGCGAGAGCCGTTTGACATTTTCAGCGGCCGTGCGGACGAGCAATGCTTGCAAGCACGCGAGACAGTTGGAGCCAAGATCTGGGAGCAGGCATTCGGCCTAATATTCAACTGGCGTGCAGCTCAGAATTTTGCCAGCTGTACTGAGATCAACATGTTCTTAGACAGGAAGAAGCTGTTTAGCCTGTGACGGCCAGTGATTGTGGGCCTGTCCAGCCATTGGTTGACTGCAAACGGAAACTGGCTGTGCAGGCGCGGCACATTGCGGGCGCTCTTTGCTATGGGTTTGGACAGCCAGATTGCGTTTGCAGTGAAGAGATGGGCAGACAGGCCCACCGTCAAATTGATATTTGGCAGCTTAACGTCAGTCACGTTAGATTGCAGCAAGCTGATGCAGACTGAGCCCGAAGCCTTCTCCGACGGACTTGAACGTGAGCAGGCCAAGAGAGTCGTGCTCCCAATGAGACTCCTGAATGTAGCTTGCCGCTGAGGTTTTGTGGCCCATGGTTGTTCCCAATTGCATAGATGCAGAGGAGGGTTTTTGGACCATCTCTGACTCCGAAGTATCGTACGCATGATCATCTTAATCAAAGACCTGGTGCCCAGCAGATTGCTAGGATCCAAAGTGAGCATAGTTATCATAGACGAGTCTCAGGGTGCTCATGATGGCCGTGGATGCCGGACAGGGTTGCAGACCTGACCCGGAACTATCCAGAACTATTTGTACAGGATTGATCCCGCAAACGGTTTTCAATGTTGGCAGGGTGCAAAATTCAGGCGAGAACACCGGATCCGCCTTTTCAGGCCAGGAAGAACTAGAGTAATCATGCACACTAACGCCATGTTTCTGCCTCGCAGAGTTTTCCTTTTTGTCAAGACAACGCCTCGCAAGAAGTCGCGGCAATTTGGAGGCGGCTGACAGCTTCGAAGTCAAGAACCACCTTGCAGCCTTTGCCGTCGAGGCCCAAAGGGCATGGAAGAAGCTAGCCCTAGGCGCTTCCGTGCCCTTTGTACTTCAACGGCAATGCATGGCTTCATTGCAGGAGCTGTGGTGAACTGTCACGCGGCGCAGTACATAGAGAGCCATCTCTGACTCCGAAGTATCGTACGCATGATCATCTTAATCAAAGACCTGGTGCCCAGCAGATTGCTAGGATCCAAAGTGAGCATAGTTATCATAGACGAGTTCCAGGGTGCTTATGATGGCCGTGGATGCCGACAGGGCTGCAGACCTGACCCGGAACTATCCGGAACTATTTGTATAGGATTGGTCACGCAAACGGTTTTCAATGTTGGCAGGGTGTACAGCCTGTGAAACCACAGCCAACATTGCAAAATTCAGGCGAGAACACCGGATCCGCCTTTTCAGGCCAGGAAGAACTAGAGTAATCATGCGCACCAACGCCATGTTTCCGCCTCGCAGAGTTTTCCTTTTTGTCAAGACAACGCCTCGCAAGAAGTCGCGGCAATTGCAAGGCGGCTGACAGCTTCGAAGTCAAGAAACACCTTGCAGCCTTTGCCGTCGAGGCCCAAAGGGCATGGAAGACGCTCTCTAACTTTCAGAGTCAAAGGCGAGCGTGACGAGCGGCGAGCGGCAAGCGGCTTGGGCCCAACCCTCCTGGGTTCCGTGTGAATGTTCAAGGGAGTGATCAGGACCTGGCGCTGCATTACAGGGAAATCCATAGACACTGGCGTGAAAATGCAATGTAAAATCCCTCAAAACGAGCCATTCCTCCTTGAAGTTTTTGGTTTCCGTACCTCTGAGGAAACTTGCACTTTCAGGGGGCGATACATGTTGCCACGCCAAAGTTGTTGATTCCCATTCCCCTGGCCGCGTGCGTTTTCGGTTCTGTCAGGTGCCATTGAAGGAGGCCAGCGCGGGAATTTGTTGGTGCGTCCTCCGGTGTCCGTGTCTTGGCTTTTTTCCCCGAACCAGAGCCTTCGGATTTCCCTTGGTTTCCCTGCCTTTCTCCGGGGTTTCTCTTGGCTTCCCTTCGCAGAAGCCATTTGTCCACCGCGGAAATCTTGGGGATCTCCAGGGTTTGATCCATGGTTCCCCTGTGCCCCTTTAATCTTGATTGCTATTGGCTTGGATCTTTTGACTTATTCGTTGAAATCAGTCGGGTTTCCCATTGAGCCCAACAAACAATGCTGAAGACTTTCTGTAGAGGGGTCACCAGCAACCAAGTAATGAACACCTAGCTCAGGGGGCAGAAGAATGGCCGTCCTTTTTTCTTCGACCTACTTGTGGATTTGTCGGAGACAAGTTCTCCAGAGCGGTCGCCTGGACAAGGGCGAAAGTTGCGAGCTGAAGGAAATTGGCCGAGATAGGCTCCATGCAGATTTGGGTGCTAAATGGTCGATTTGCTCAAGTCTCCCTAGGCTGAAGGAAAGCAACAACTATGGATAATCCTGTGGCTCTCCAAGGGACGTTGATGCAGGCGGAAAGGGCTCCGAGCTGTTAACATCCGGAGGAGGTTCCGGTTGACCAAGTGATTTGACGGCATTCAGCCAGAAATCACCAGGCAAGCCCTTGAAAAAGCGAATTCCCAAGGCACCCCGGAACGTCATCAAACAACGCAAGCGGAAGGGGCAAAGTTTCAAGATATCGATACACGAAAACGAAGTCCTGCGGAGGTTGCGCTCAGGCTGGGGCCGGGTTTGTTTCTCCTGACTGTCTTTTAAACGAAATGGAGGGACCCCACTCTGGGGCCTCCTACACGTTTGTTCTGGGGCAATCGGCGGCCTCATGTTGGCTTGTGACCGGTTCCAAAGGTTTTGACCCAGACTTGTTTGGGATCGTTTTGGCGCAGCTTGTCAAAGTCGCAAGCCTTTGACACCAGCCCCAGGCTGGTGGAATCTGAGGTCTCAAAGGATTGCACTCATTGCCGGTTTCCCTCCATTTTACCCACCAAACCAAGTTGGAAACCACAAATCAGAATGGCCCCGACCGCTGTGACATCTCCCTCCAACCAATCCAAACAGGACCGAGAAGAGAACCACCACAGGACACCTTCCATGAATACCTCGACCAGTTCCTGGAGAGCCGCCGTGGCAAGGCCGCCGCCGCCAGCCGGCCACCCATGAACATGTCATGCAGAACCACGGTGCTTCAGGTTGAAAGTTGATGTGATCGGAATTTCCAACATGAAACGATGTGGATGTGTTCAAGTTCCAGCATTTCGCGATGCTTCTTCAAGCCATACTTCTCCTTCAACAGCAACAGACCGTGCATGCATGCACACCGTCAATGGCTGTCGCCCGTGTACAGTTCAAAGAGTGTTCAGTTTGTCATTTGTCCAGTGCTTGAATGTAGCTGTCGACCATCTAAAACTCCCCCAAGCGGCTCAGGCAATTTTAACCCGATCAGCTTCGGTTCAAGCCAGTGGATTCGTCATTGCCACAAAGGGCAACCTCATTGTAGGCAAGATGGCGCACCTGGGACACCCGTAGAAACTCCACGGGTTTACGACGAGTTCCGCGGGTTTATGCGGGTTTCCACAGGTTTGCCACGGGTTTTCTGCAGGAACTGCCCTTGTTGCTCGGCAAAGTTGCAAGATCCATCCAAACGCCAGCAAAACGTGACTGCTGGGCCTCATTGGAGCCCTATACCGTTTGAACTAGGATCATAATGGGTGTGAAACTATTTAGCCCCTCATACCCTTGAGATTCCATGAGAGCTCCCACAGCGACGGAACCTGGCTCTTGTTTGCAATGGAATGGCCTTCAGAGATGGACTAAATTCATGCTGGCGTTGGTTTGCGGTCCTGATTTCCTGTCATGGCCAAAGTCCATGTAGCCTGAATCACAAGGAACCTTGGCCCAAAAGGTCCTTCGTAAAATCGGGTCTTAGATGTTCCTTGTGGGATGAAGGGACATGTACTGCAAGCCCCGTAATGTGGAAGCATCTATTTGCCACAGTTCCAGGGATACCAGCTCGATCCACTTGGTGGGGAGTCGGATCGCTTTTGTTTGGACGGGATGGCATTTCACAGTGGGCATACAGGTTGAAGAAACCCCTGCTTGATGCTTGCGGTTTTTTTGCGGGGTGTACGGGGTGTGCACAAAAAGGCGAGCCCAAGCTTGCTTCTCAATTGCTTCTTTGACCGCCAAGAAGCATCTGCCCGTAAAACCTGAGACCTCCCTCCAAGCATCTAATTAAGCATGTAAACCCTAAGCCAAAAACTCTACAAACCGAAAGCCCTAAGAATATTAGACCTGGAGCATCTAAAGCTCTAACACGCCCAGAACCCGAAACCCCATATACCTCTCAACCCTCAACAACTGCAAGGCAAATGCACGAAGCTTTGTTCCTTTGCAAAAGCAAGACAAGGGAGTGACGGCCCTTCACGTATGTTGTGTCGGAGCCCTGAAAGGCTTTTGTTTGCGGTCGAATGGCGTATGTGGCCCGCTTTAACCCGTACGTTGGTGTTTGTTCGGTGGTTTGCCTAGCTTGCCCATATTTGGCCGTATACGACCCGTCCTTTGTCTATACAATGTTGCAACCTAGGCGAAGAAAAGCGTGTTTGGCCGTAGTCTGACCCCAAAAAGCAGCTTTTGGAGGTCCAGGTGTAGTATGAACATTGCACCATGGAGACACATGCATCTCACATGACCTGTTGAATCAACATCTAATGTTTTGATGTGTAGCCAATGTTTGAAGAGTAAACAAGGCAGCACTAAGAGAGAGAGGAACCAATTCCTATGGCCTCATCGACGCTGGCCAATTTCCGGCCAGGCCATTGCTTTGGCGGAATTTTGCTGCGAGGTCTTTCAGGGCTACAAGGCCCTGTGGCTGTGTCCTTTGGGGGTGGTATGCAGGGGCTCCTTTGATGCTTACCCCTTCCTCCCACTAACACAAGGCACACCTTGGGGGGAAGGGTACCTGGAGCATCAAAACCCCCTGCCCCACTGTTTTTTGTTTGAAAAAGCCTCCACTGAGGTTTCAGGGCTACACTCTTTGTGGACAATCCTTTGTAGCAACGTAGTCTTGGTCATGATCGAGTTACACTGGCAGAATCTGTTTGCTGAATTGTTTGCGTTCCCTCTTCCGTTTGCCAAGCTGGCAAGTTGTGAGAGGACCCTAAATAAAGGAATGTCACCGCTGTTCTTTTCATGAATTTATGAACGAAAGCATGGCTTTCATTCGGTTAGACCCTTAGCCTTCCAACTTGGGGATCTGTTTTCGCATCGGCGACACTCTTTTGTCACTTTAGCTTCAAATCGACAAGGCCACAGCTGGGGAAGTGGATTGGATAGAATACATTCTTGTTACAAAACAGAAAACATACGCCAGCAAGTTCTATGATTGAAGGGCAGTTGTCGGGCTTCATGACTCGAAGTCTAAGAACTGGCAGGATGTATCCTCGTTCCCTCGCAAACTTCTCAGAAGCTACTTGAGGTCGCAGCGGGAGATCGTCCTTGAAATCATTTGATTCGCGTTGGATAAAGCACCTTGGAAACACGAGGAAGCGGTTCACATGGATAATTGCCATCCATATTCTGTGCATATCCGTATGTATATGTGGGATATGTCTTTCCTGCACTTGTCCTTGTCAGGTCTGCAACTGTTGATATGTCTTGCTTTCAAGGCGGGGAGCTTTGACTGTGCACACCTCTGCCTTTCGTTGTGTCTTGTCTTGGTGAGTCCGAAATAGCAGACACCTCAGGCGGCCTTGGGGCGTCCTTTGGGTGGGCCCGTGGCATCCAAAGCCAAGTTAAGGAACTGCCCCTTGTGCTTTGTGTGCTTTCTGTCAATTTTGCTCTGGCGTGCACCTGGAATCCTGGAAAGGATGCGCCAGGGTTCAAGGTTCACTGTAGGCCTGGCCAAGGCAAAACGGGAAGGCAATTATATAGGTTTGTCTCGTTGGCTTCCTTTTGGTTTCCTAAGACCAACCAAACCGGGGGGGTGATTTGCAAAAGGACACTCCCATATTTTGGTCGTGGCCTGTTCCCAGGTTGAAATGGCGATGAGTATATCCTGACCAAAAGGGGGAAAGAAGCCAGAAATCAAAAGCTCAACGTTTCATCAGCGGCTCCCGACTCTGAAACCATCTCAAACTTCCGAATCTTTGTCCTGCGGAAGCGCAGAACGTTGTCGAGAGCAGGACCTGGCGATCT